TACTAACGAAAAAAATAGACTGAAAAAAAAAACTATTTATGTTTATTAGGAGAAATTACGTTGCTGTCTTTTCTCCTTGAATTATCTTCCTTATTTCCTTTCAAATCGATGTGATGTAGCATTGTACATGTACCTCTTACTACTGTAAAATTATATGTTTGTATGTTATTAATTTTTTAACTCATGTAACAATACTTTGGTTTGAGTGAATAAATTGAACTTGGACTTGCCCCCCCCCCCTCCCCCCCCCCCCCCCCCCCAAAAAAAAAGATTCAACATTGAATTCTTTAAAAATATTAATGATTAGTTTACATATCATCAGGGAAGTTTTTACGTCTTATTTTTATTTATTTTATTATTAATTTTTTAGGAAGGTAACATTCTTTACTTACCTACCAAAAGTTACTTTTATTAAAATTTTGATTAACTTAATTATTGGAGCGTCTGGTGAATTTGATTTACAGTGTACCCAGTCACGCATTTGAAATATACACATAGTAATCAATGGGCTGTAAGTATTTCACTTACAGTAATTTGTGAAAATAAAAAGGTGATATTTCAAATGTTTTCAATAATATTTTTTCGTCAACTGCTGGTCAACGGAACAAGTTTAACTTTTGCGACGTAGCTATTTTACCTTTCTTGTTAAAGCGAAAGTGTAGTGCAGGTTCTCTTTAAAAATCCTTATAAATGCCGAAATGAAAAAAAGAAAACATAACCCTGGAAAACATCAGATACTTCAGACAAGTTCTTTACATGCGGTATGTTTTCTTCAGACATAACCTGTAGATTACGTCAACATCAACGTCATAATGGGGCAAATGACGTAATGTTAAGCTGAATGAAGGGGAAAAATATTTTCATAATGATGCTTTTTAGGTTTATTACAATAATCAGAACTACTTCAAACTAAAAAAAAAACAAGTACCTGTTCATTTCTTGTCAAAATCGTTTGTAAATCGAATGTAAAATCGTATCGTGTGACCACCCAACCAATCGACTCCAATCGACTTACCTGAGCAAGTCGAATGAAAATCGAATGAAAAATCGCATCGTGTGACCGCACCTTTAGATGCATCAACTGACAACATTTGATGATCCTAGTCCTTATAGTAAGCAAAATATAAACATTTTAATAAAATGTAATTTTTGGTCAACTTTGAAGTGACCTTGAGAGCACGCCCTTTGCCCCAGAGTAATTCCCTGTGCAAATTTTAATCTTCAACATATCCTTATCCTTTTGTGTAAGTTTGGTGATAATCTGCCCAGTGGTTCTTGAGAAGAAGATTTTTTAGCAACCAGTGCTTTTGTTTCTATTGTCCTAATTATCTCCCCTTTTTTAAGGGTCACAACCCTAGTTTTAGTATAAACGGGAGCCCTTGGGCAAAGGATACCCTGTGACAAATTCGACAATAATTGGCCAAGGGGTTCTTGAGTTATGGCCCATATTCTAACAAGAGGCCCATGGGCCACAACGCTCACCTGAGTCAATATGGCTCTGCTGTTCTTCATCAGCAGATTTCTTCTCCTATATGGTGGTCATGATTTGAACAAATTTGAATCTACACTACTTGAAGATGATTCCATATCAATATGACTAATTGTGGCTTTGTTGTTCTTGAGAAGAAGATTTTTAAAGATTTTCCCTATATATTCCTATTTAAAACTTTGATCCCCCATTGTGGCCCCAACCTACTCCGGGGGGTCATGATTTGAACAAACTTGAATCTACACTACCTGAGGATGATTCCATATCAATATGACTAATTGTGGCTTTGTTGTTCTTGAGAAGAAGATTTTTAAAGATTTTCCCTATATATTCCTATGTAAAAGTTTGATCCCCCATTGTGGCCCCACCCTACCCCTGAGGTAATGATTTGAACAAACTTGAATCTACACAATCTGAGGATGATTCCATATCAATATGACTAATTGTGACTCTGTTGTTCTTGAAAGGAAGATTTTTTTTTCTATATAATCCTATATAAAACTTTGATCCCTCATTGTGGCCCCACCCTACCCCCAGGGGTCATGATTTGAACAAACTTGAATCTACACAATCTGAGGATGATTCCATATCAATATGACTAATTGTGACTCCGTTGTTCTTGAGAAGAAGATTTTTTTTTCTATATAATCCTATATAAAACTTTGATCCCTCATTGTGGCCCCACCCTACCCCCAGGGATCATAATTTGAACAAACTTGTATCTACACTACCTGAGGATAATTCCATATCAATATGACTAATTGTGGCTTTGTTGTTCTTGAGAAGAAGATTTTTAAAGAATTTTCCTATATATTCCTATGTAAAAATTTGATCCTCAATTGTAGCCCCATCCTACCCCCAGGGGTCATGATTTAAACAAATTTGAATCTACACTACCTGAGGATGATTTCATATCAATATGACTAATTGTGGCTTTGTTGTTCTTGAGAAGAAGATTTTTAAAGATTTTCCCTATATATTCCTATGTAAAACTTTGATCCCCCATTGTGGCCCCACCCTACCCCCGGGGGTCATGATTTGAACAAACTTGAATATTCACTATGTAATGAAGGTTTCACATAAGTATAAACTTTTCTGACTCAATGGTTCTTGAGAAGAAGATTTTTAAAAGATGACACCAAATTTTCACCAATTCTTAATTATCTCCCCTTGGAAGAGGGCGTGGCCCTTCATTTGAACAAACTTGAACCCCCTTCACCTAAGGATGCTTTGTGGCAAGTTTGGTTGAAATTTGCCTAGTGGTTCTGGAGAAGAAGTTGAAATTGTGAAAAGTTTACGCCAACGACAGACAATGGACAAATTTTGATCAGAAAAGCTCACTTGAGCCTTTGGCTCAGGTGAGCTAAAAAGTTTACGCACACCGCACAAATGGCCATAGCATTAGCTCTTTGAGGCTTTGGCTCAGAAGAGCTAAAAATAGGAGGCCACAATGGCATTATGTAACAAAGATTCTGTGAAAGTCTCATTAAATTTCATTCAGTGGTATAAGAGGAGTTGCAGAAAAGAGATAGGTACCTCAAAGCGTAACAGATGGACGTACAGACAGAGGTACGGACGGAGGGACAGATGGACATCCTGATCACTACATATCCTCCCAATTTTCAAGCGGGGGCTATAACAGTCGGACAGACGGACATTCTGTTCACTATATACCCTCCTACTTTTCAAGCGGGGGGTATAAAAAGACCTGTTATTGCTTAGGCAATAAGTACTTAGTTATTCTTTTTTTTCCTACTTTCTTCTCAGGTACTTTTTTGCCTGCAAGTGTTCTCATAGAACCACTCATCCGATTTACATAAAACCTTTTTAGGGTAAATAGGGATGTTGTGTAGATGTGCTAAATGTAGGTCTTTTGCGCGCACATTCACATGGAAAATACTCTATAGGGAATGCACAGAGACAATGTTTAGTTTCACTGGATGAAGAAGACGATTTCAGAAAAGATTAAAAAAAGGAAGTTTCAAAATACATTGGGATTTTATTTTTGAATTTAAATTTTTTAAAGATTCTTCCTACATATTCAATGTAAAACATTCTTTGCTCATTGTGACCCCATCCTACCACATGGATTATGATTTGAAAAAACTTGAATTTACACTATGTTATGAAGTTTTTCATGTATGTTTCAACTTTTCCGGCCCAGTGGTGCTTGAGAGGAAGGTTTTTTAAAAGATACCATTTTTCCACTAATGCTAAATTACCTCCCCTTGAAAGAGGGTGCAGCCCTTTATTTGAACAAACTTTAATCCCCTTTACGAGTAAAATATATGGTTATTGATTGGATACCATCATTTAACTGAGGGAGCCTATATAATACAAAAATAATACCTGAAGCGAGGGAAAAAAAAGTAGCTGTAAATCAAGAGTTTTTATAATACATGGGTCTGTAGCTCTCTGGTTTGTCTGTCTAAATCTTCTCAACCAGAGAAGTAAAATTATGCAGCTAGGACACATTTTGATTAGAAAAGCTAACTTAAACCTTTGGCACAGGTGAGCCAAAATAAAGCAAACAAAAGGCCCATGGGTTACAATGCTCATCTGAATCACTTTTACTCTGTTCTGCATCAGACCCCCCCCACCCCACCCCCCCACTTCCCACCCCACCCCCCCACCCCCAATACATATATTCCTCTGTATTCTTTATCGTTTTTGTGACCCCTATACACTGGGGCCATGATTTGAAGATAAATGAATCTTCACTACCAGAGGATGCTTCACATTAATTTGACTCATCATAGATTTGCACTTGTGAAGAGAGTTTCAAAGATTTTCCCCTATATAATCCTTTTTTAGGCCCCACCCTACCCTGGGGGAAATAATCTGAATAATTTACAATCTACACTACCTAAAGAAGCTTTCAACTAAATTTAATCTTTTCTGGTCCAGCAGTCATTGAAAAGAAGATTTGTAAAGGTTTTTCCTCCATATTTCAATGTAAAACCTCGTTTCTATACTGTGCCTCTATCCTACCCCCAGGGGCCATGATTTGAACCATATACAAGCTTTACTAGTTTAGGAAGTTTACATCTTTCTGGTGCAGTGGTTCTTAAGATTTTTCCTAAATATTTCAATGTAAAACTCTGATCCCCCTTTAGGAGGGCATAATTTGTGAACAATTTACAGACTTAACTACCTCAGGAAGCTTCGACATAAGTGTTGGTTTTTCTAGTCCAGTGGTTCTTGAGAAGACGATTTTTGAAGATTTTTTCTCATATATTTCAATGTAAAACTTTGATCCGCTATTGTGGCCCCACCCTACTCCAAGGGGACATGATTTGAACAATTTACAATTGTGAAAAGTTTGCAGACTGATGGACAGACAGACAATCAGATGGACAAAGGGTGATCAGAAAAGCTCACTTGAGCTTTCAGCTCAGGTGAGCTAAAAAATGTATGCAGACAGATGGATTAACTGCAATTGGGCACCAGCAATTTTTTTTTTGGTTCTTATGAGTGCCTTTATGTGAAGCATATGTAACTTTCAACTTACCCCACTTTAACTAAACATTTTACTTTCTGATCCGGAGATACTTTGACCAAATACTTCAGAGCTTCCTTCATATTTCCATACTTTGAACAAACATCTACAAAAGCCTGACAAAAAGAATTCTTTTTGTAAATTCAATGTTTCTCTTAAATTGTTGAAAAGAATAAAAACCAGAAGTCTCTGACAAGACTGTAGCTCTACTGGTTGTACTTATAAAGGAAGATAAAAGTAGCACTTGGACTTTAAACTTTGCAACAGCAATAAATATAAAAATGATTCTTTGTTAAGTCTCTTTTTGTGGCAAAGTTTATTGCAATCAGACTAAAACTGTAAGAGGAGTAGCCTTTTAAAACAATTTTACAGAAATTCTTATTTAAGTAACCATGGCAACATCAAAACAAAATCAAAAAACAATAACAACAATTATGTATCTTAGTGTAGTCTACTTGTATGCCAAGTTATACTGAAATTAAACAAAAAGTGTAGGAGATTAGCGTTTTGAAAGTATTTCAAGAAAATTTCTATTTTTAGTAACCATGGCAACACTGTTTATGGAAATCCAAAACTAGTAGAATGAATTATGTATTTTAGTGTAGTCTAATTGTGGCCAAGTTATACAGAAATCAGACCAAAACTGTAGGAGGAGTAGCATTTTGAAAGTATTTCAAGGAAATTTCTATTTTTAGTAACCATGGCAACACCGTTCATCAAAATGAAAAACAGATATACAGAATTTTGCATCTTAGTGTAGTTTACTTGTGTATATTGAAATCAGATCAAAACTGTAGTAGGATTAGCATTTTAAAAGTATTTCCCAGAAATCTCTATTTTTAGTACCATGGCAACACCCTTCATTGAAATCAAAAACTGATACACAGAATTATGTATCTTAGTGTAGTCTACTTGTGTGCCGTGTTATACTGAAATCGGACTGAAACTGTAGGAGGAGTAGCATTTTGAAAGTATTTCACAGAAATTTCTATTTTTAGTAACCATCGCAACACCCTTCATTGAAATCAAAAACTGATATACAGAATTATGTATCTTAGTGTAGTCTACTTGTGTGCCATGTTATACTGAAATCGGACTGAAATCACGGTGTAGTACCTAAACAGTTGCTATTAGAAAAAATGCGCGTACATTACTGCTATCTGAAAATTGTTCGGTTGCTAATGGAAAAAAAAAATGGACGAAATGGTAAGTATTTTTCTTCGCTGGCTCAATAAAATGGTCAATTATTCAATTACCAAAGTTTAGCTGCTTATTTTTTCACCCTTACGGAACGTAACATACCTTTTAAAACTAATATGTATCTCTAATTTTTTCTGAATAAAAAGATTGTTAATGTATAGAACGAAAACTGTCGAAAGTCTCGGAAACACTTACATGCACATAAGAAATATATTTAATTAGTGTCAAAATATTTAAATATTTGATAAAAATGAATCGACAGATCAGTGTATTTTTGTAAAACGTATTGATTATTTCATAGAATTACCCATTTTAATCGGTTTCTTAAAAACAAAAGCGTTTTCATGCGGAGAAACTTATGTTACGGCTACTATTAGACAACAACACCGTTTCTATTGGAAATGTCTTAAGTTTTCAATTTTTCTTTAATACAGGTCCTTAATTTACATCTATTATGCAATAGTTTAGAAAATTTTATCTGAAATGTTCATTCTATATTCTTTTTAATAACCGACTTGTTTACATAGATATGACTAATAATAATAGTAGTGTTTGTTAATACCCTGTACATTTACTAAGTATCCTGCACACAATAAAAATTGTTAGTCTTTAAATTATGTGCATCATCTGTTGAATTTATTAGATTTCACCTGGGTAATTACGGTAGATTCACAAATAAAGGATATCTCATGTTTTTTGTTTTTTTTGTGGGGGGGGGGGATAAATTTTTATCCAATGAGTTGTGGTAATATAGTTTCTTTAGAATGGGCTTGTTCCAAACACTTTTAAAAAATTGAAGGCCAGATAAGCAGCATCGGATCCTATGTATAAGCAAGGCAACCCTAGATACACCATCCTTACAAGTTTCGTCAAAGTGAGCGGCTCGCTCGAATAACAGACCTTATTACAGATGCTACTATATCCTACATCCAGTTCAATAAACTACTTTTTTTAAATTCAATTTTTGATGTACCGGTACAGTATGGCCAAACACTCCTAACGTCCAAAAATTATGTACATGTATTGAAAATACGAAAGTGGAATTGCACACAATTCCCCCCCCCCTTTCTATTTCGAAAAAGACTACATATGTCTGTAAATAATTGTAATGCTCTCTCCTTTAAATGTACATAATTATATATTACTTACTGGATAGAATATTAGCCTTTTTCATGTTCGGATCTCCACCTTTTTTAAAAAAAGGGGGATGTGGTTCCAAGCCCACTCAAAAGAGACAGAGAGAGAAATAGAAGTAAATATAAGAAAACTGCCAAACAAACAAGTAGAAATCTTTTCCATCTGAAAAACTTCCTTCTTTCAAGCCCCCCGGGGGTGGGCATGATTGTCTCTTCTATCTGTATAAATTTAATAATCCAGAAAATCATCCAAAAGGGGGAATCGGACACCCTCTCCATTCAAGATCCGATGGTTTGAATAATGCGTGTTAATTGTATTTTGTGATGCTACAGCGTACCAAAGCACTACCGTCAAAGGTTATACTGAAAATTCACTAGATATTATTTAGGTCTAAGTTTACATATAGGCTACAAAAATTTTAAAAATTAAAAAAAAAAAAGTTTTCGAAAGCTTTCCAAAGCTTTTGAAGTACTGATGGTAAAGTTCTTTCATTTAATTTAAACTTACGTTTCCTTCATATAGCTTTCTTTTTGATTTTGTATAGTGATGTTTTTCGAAAATCAGCTCTACTTGGCAGAACACAACAAATTCGAGTTAAGTTGATAAATGTCAATTGTACATGTAGACATTGTGTTCCATATGCTCTTTGGATGTTTTAAATATATATTTTAGGCCTGTGCAGCCATAAGATTCTTATTTTTCTCTTTCTTTGATTTAAAAATAAATTATATTTCAAATAGCAGTCGGTGCATTATTTTCAGTTAATAACTGGTGCCTACATACCAACATTTCTGATAGTAACCGTAACTTAAGAAAATCGTGTTTTGTCCAAAAATCTCTTTCAAAATACACTTTTTATAAAAAATTATTATATCTACGAATTATCATAGATTGACACATCTTTACATACCAAAATGAACTCAAACTAACCTATAAATGATGAAAAGAAGCATGGAAACTTGGAGTATATTGACTTGCGAATGGGTACATACTTCAGAAATTTTACTATATTCAAATTTTTAGAAGGTTGTTCTACTAAATACATCTGGCGTCATTTTAAGAAATCCCTTACTTGTTCCGTGCACAAGGATTTTTCTGAGACTTAATCGATTTGGGGTCACTTTCTGACAATTTTACCTCTTGTTACAAGTTCCTCCAACATATTTATTTCAGCTAGCAGCCGTAAAATTTACGACTAGAAACAATGAACGCTTTTTTGTTCAGATAGCAACTGTTTAGGTACTACACCGTGGAAACTGTAGTATGAGTAGCATTTTGAAAGTATTTCTATTTTTAGTAACCAAGGCAACATCCTTCATTGAAATCAAAAACCGATAAACAGAATTATGTGTTTTATTATAGTCTACTTGTGTGCCATGTTATATTGAAATCAGATCAAAACTGTAGGAAGAATAGTGTTTTGAAAGTATTTCACAGAAATTTCTATTTTTAGTAATCATGGCAACACCATTCATTGAAATCAAAAACTGATATATAGAATTCTGGGTCTTATTATAGTCTACTTGTTTGCCAAGTTATATCGAAATCAGATCAAAACTTTGGAGGAGTAGCGTTTTGAAAAATTGTTTACAGATGGACAGACAGACAGACGGACAGACACCTTACTATCGCATAAGCTCTTCTGGTCTCTGACCAGTAGAGCTAAAAATTAAAAGTGTATAGGGAAAAAAAAAACTCGCAGTGTAAAATCACTATATTCATCGTGATATTAAATCCCTGAATTCAATAAATGGTTAATGTTTATTACATAACTAGATTTCTTTAAAAATGATTCCTGGCTACCAGTAGATATAATCATTAAGTTCTGTAACATCACATATTTTTCACGGGTCGAATTTTCAGAGTCCATGAGTCACAACACTCACCTGACTCAATATGGCCCAGCTGTTCTTCATCAGCAATATTTTTTCTACGATATATTCTTTCGTAAACTTTATTGTGGCCCCACCCTGCCTCAAGGTGTCATGATTTTTATAGATGTAGTCCCACCCTATCTCTCCCGGTCATGATTTAAACAAGCTTGAATCTACACTATCTCAAGATATTTCCATACCAGTTTGACTAAATATGGCTTTGCTGTTCTTCAGAAAAAGATTTTAAAAGGTTTTCCCCCTATATATCTGTATGTTAAACTCTGATAGTGCACTGTGGCCCAACATACCCCTGGGGGGGGGGGGGGGGAGGGGGGCATGATTTGAACAAACATTAATCTGCACTACCTGAGGATGCTTCCATTTCAATATGGATAAAAAGACTTTTAAAAATCTTTCCTATATATTCCTATAAAAAACTATGATTGCCCAGTGTGGTCCAACCCTATCCCTAGGGGTCATGATTTGAACAAACTTGAATTTACACTACCTGGGGATGCTTCCAAAACAATATTACTAAACATACTTTACTATTCTTGGAAAGAAGATTTTTCAATATTTATTTCTGTACATAGTTCTATGTAAAACTTTGATCCCCAATTGAGGTCCCAGCCAACTCCGGGGGGTCATGATTTGAATAAACTTGAATCTACACTACCTGAGGATGCTTCCATATCAATATGACTAAACATGGCTTCGCTGTTTGTGAACAGATTTTTAAACTATACATTCCTATGTAAAAATTGATTGCCCAATGTGGCCCCACACTACCTTATAACACTTTTTTATATGTTATATTTTTTCCTGTATATTCCTATGTAAAACTTTGATCCCCCATTGTGGCCCTATCTAACTCCTAGGGGTCATGATTTGGATAAATTTAAATC